TTTCCCGTATTAATATGGTCTTTATAATATTATTGAAAGAAGTTTATAATATTTTTATAATATCCTAAATTTTTATAAAAACCTTTAAATTGTCTGGTTTCCAAATAAAACTTACAAATTGTAAATATTGCAACATTCAATCCCAAATTCTTATTTAATCAACAAAGATCACGTTTTATAGAAAGCACATACGGTAACGCAGTTATGATAAAAATATGTGTTTTCTTTAAGTAACAATTTGAAATTAATTGGATCTTATAAATTTATGTAATTTATAAAGTAGTTCATTGCATTTTAGATATATAAGTTGTTTGCAGTACATAATTATGTTCTTAAGTAAACATGCTGGTTTTAACGTTTTGATAATGCCATTTATTTTGTTATTGATTACAAAAAAATATTGATAATATCAAATTTTTAAAACTATTTCTATTTATCAAATGATGTAGAACTGAAACTAATCATAATTTATTGTTCACTTATACATACCTATATAAAGAATCAATCTTCATTTTGCTGGCCACGTATAAAAATCCAAAAATACAATCATATAAGCACTTGATATTATGATTTCAACCGTAAATTTCAAAACGGAACGACGGGGCCAATTAAATAAAAAATCCTTTATCCGCGGAACGAATACAAAGGGACAGTTAACGCGAAATTACAGCGTCGAGATAAAATCTATTCGCCAACGTATCATCGTTCTCGCATCGCATTCGTTAAAGCCCGCGTTAAAAGCCGTCGCCTTTCGACGTATAATCCGTCGCGAAGGCTCAATAAAATCCTCGTAATACTCGAGTTATTCAATAAGGCTGCATCTTGGGGAGATATCTTCGAGTCCATTACCCAATTAGGCGTAATAGGCCCAGCTGGTAACGAATGCAGACACCTGTCGCGTAATCTTGTTAGGCGCCCTCTTTATGACCGACACACGGGCTCGTGTGGATGTTGTCAACTCGCGTAAAATACCCTCGCTCGTGCTCTGACGGCATGTCGGCGATTAATTGGTCGGAAAATTCCAAAAAAGGCAAAACTTCAGTGGCGTGTTTACGCGGACGGCTATGAAAATGTGGTCATGTGTTTAAAAAAAATGATTTTGTGTTTTACATAGCATTATAAATGTAAAGATTAATTCGTGAAACCGATGGAACAATTTCATTATTAAAATCCTTTTTTCATCACTTTCGATCTGGTACAGGAATTTTCATAGAATATTTATTGCTCATTACTTGTTCAATTTCAAATGGGCACTTGCGATAAGTGGATTCGGATATATTAGTGAATCTTCGACAACTGGACTAGTTAAATTTTCTCAACCTCTGACCCAATTAGGGAATACGGTCAAGAGCTTTAGAGCTCGCAACGGTGGCGGTAAGACCTAGCAATTTATTTGTCTGCCTACAATAATTAAATGCACGAATTCTGTTGTGTAATAATTTATTATAAAACATGTTCCGCCGACCTGAGGTCACGTGTAATAATAAAGCAAATGACGTATTTACGCCACTAAATTTTTCCTAACAAAATAAAAACAATCAAATTATTATTTAGTAAATCACAAAATACTTAAATCACCTGGCCTGTATATATATGTATATGATTTTTTCTCATATATTTATATGAGAAAAAATCAGTTCCGACATAAATAGGAAGTTGGAATCGTGTTCATATAACAAATACAAATTTATGGAAGCATAACGTTCAACTTTTGAAGTACTTGCCTTTATGTTTCTCCGAGGTAACATTATAGGCACCATTTAGCCGGGTAAATAGACGTGTATATAGACTGTTTCAAAGTACAAAATCATATGCCAAGTTGCCCGCCGAGGGAACTGTCTCAATAATGCATATTTCTTTAAAGAAGCTAGACGCAAATGGTCTTGAACGCCATTGACTTTTCCTTTTGGGGCTTTACGAAGATTTGTTGAACAACGGCCGCCGCCCAAAAATAACAACAGAACGGATGAAAACATGGACTAGAATATTTCAAAGAACTTTGCGTCAGTCCAATATTTTTTGCCACCAATATAACTTAATACAGTATTTTTAATATTAAAATAACCGCTTTTTACTAAATGCATATGGATGTATACGCGATACATATACCAAAATAACATTTTTGTACATTTTTTGTCTATCTGTCTGTCTGTTTGTTCTGGCTAATCTTTGAAACGGCTGGACCGATTTGGACGGGACTTTCACTGGCAGATAGCTGATGTAATCAGGCTACTTTTATTTTAGATTTTTTTTATTTTAAATTCCACGCGGACGAAGTCGCGGACACAGCTATAAGTAATAAAAACCGTCTTACAACGTATTTAAACCTTCTTCCAAGTGTCTAGAGATCAATGTGTTTCTATAAATATTTGAGTAATCTAATAAAATTTGTAAAAACATTAATGCACATGGATAAAAAAATGTCTAGAACAACGAAGGACGACTACTTTGCATTAATAAAAACTTAAAAAACTGAAATTAAAACGTGATAAAGTGATAAAAATAAAAGGTTTTACGGATTTAAAACACTTTTTAACTAAGCAACTACAAGTATATAATGGTCTGTATGTTTTTTTTAAGTTTTTTAACGGATTGTGTGAACATTTAAGAAACAAGAAGGCAAACGATAAGTGATTACCGTCACCCGTGGAAATCCATATCACACGTGAAGATGCATTGAAAAACTTTAAAAAGAGTTTGCTTCCTCCAGTTATGTTACCAGGAAAAACGCAATTGTATTAAGTATACTTCCAGTTAGATGGTCTTAGATGGGTCTGATTATTCATGCAAAAATAAAAGCTGATTCCTTAGGGTTCTTTTTGTGTGTGTAAAACATGCATATACGTAGCTAGATACTTATAAAGACAACAAAAGAACGTAAATACTAAATAAATGTACCTTTCATATTTAGATATCGTTTAATTTTAAAAGGTGAAAACTATGCTCATTTACCGTGTGCACTCTCCGTATAACAGTTAATGGAATTGGACGTTACTTCATGGAATGCTATCGCAACAATAGGTGAACTAGTTAATTTGCTGGAACCCCAACAAATACTGTTAACATCCTCAATAAATATCAGTTAGTTTACTACAGCCAAGTCTCCGTTTTTTCCATAAATAGCAATGTGCGTGCTATTTATGGAAAAACGGATATTTCCAGAAGACAATTCTGACAACGCGCTAAATATTATAGCATTATACGGTTTAATCAAATTCAGAATGTAATTGATGACTCCAGGAGTATTTAAATCACATTATTCATTTGCTCTCCCATACAGCGGGTAAGTACAGGTGTACCTACCTTAAGGCTTGACGAGGCTGAATATTTGAAACAAGGCTAAATTAACAAAAAATTAATGTAATTTTTTTTATTGTATCTGAATGTATATATCCTATGAATCTTGTTTATTACGAAAACAATGTCCTCCCTTTGGGATAACATTTATCTTGTATTGTAAGGACTTTTAATACACGTACTTCACGTGGACAAACGCCCAGATCCGGAATAATTATCTTCGGGTCACACAAATTAAATAGCTTTTAGCAACAGCGCCACCGAGTCATCAAAAAGTCACAATATTACTTGACGTTCCTATTACTTATTTGACGATGGCAACATTAAGCTAATTGGGTATGACAACATGATGTACGTAAATTACATTGCCATATTCGCCGAACCTTACGTTATAATTTGTAATTTTATTATTTTTATATATTTTAATTTAAATGTACCTAATTTATTCAGCGTTATAACGCGTAATTAACATTAATAATATTATTTAAATTTTAAATTATTCCCACAGCTGATAACAAAACCTTTCGATAAAGATTGTCTTGTGTGAATGACACTACTTCACTAAAGGCCCTTCAAATACTTGCTTGATTCTATTATACTACTGAAATGATAAAACCTTTCATTACACACTGTTTTCAGACTTGTTTTTTATTTTCGATATCTGGGACTATTCACAATCGCAACGTATTTGCACCCCTTAGGGTGTTGCATGTATGTCCATGGGCGGCGGTTTCTCTTAACACCAGGTGAACTGCCCACTCAGTTGCCACTTTCTCACATAAAAAAATCGCTTACTTGCTGATTTAGAGCATCAACAATAATTTATTTTTTAACTGACATCAAAAAAAGTAGGTTCTCAATTAGGTTATATGTTTTTTTATGTTTGTTATGTCAGAACTCCGTCATTTATGAACCTATTTTAAAAACTCTTTTTGCATTGGATTAGGTTTAGCTCATCGGCCTTGGACTTCGGGAGCTACATCAAGAAACTCCTCAAAATCAAATAGAAAATGTATAGAGAGTGAAATATTTGAATTCTGTTTTGTTTTTTTCTAAATAAAAATGTTTGTTACGACATATTTTTTCCCTACCTCTGGCAGCAAATAGTTGACGGCGATAACATTACATAGCATTAAAGTAGGTTAATCCCATTTAATACTATCGCAGTTCTATTATATTTTATGAACTCCTTTTTGAACGTTCAATATGTTTTACTCGTGCCCGAGACTTCGTTCGGGCGAACTTTAAATCTTTCGCTACTTCTTGTTTACAATGCAGAATAAGAAGAAGTGAGCGTTGACAACTTTAAAACTGCTTATCACCTCACTTTTTTTAAGTAATGTAAAGCAAGTTTGAAGGATATTTACTGCTGTAAAAGTCTATTATGTCTTCCAACATTACAGGCTTAAGACAAAGGAAACGATGATAAGTATTATTATTCATTTCAGAAGAATGATGTCGAAACAAGTGGCTCACCTGAAGGTAAATTGGGACAGCATTCAGAACTAAATATAATAATAGATAATTTACGAAAATTGCGAGCCCTATTGCGCATGTTAGCCAAATAAGGGTTTGTTGTGAGAAACATAAAAAAAGAAGCTGTAAATGTTTATTAAGAAAATAAATAGAATCTATTTACAGTTACAATCTAATTTTAAAACTAACTTCTGTACTGGGATTCAATGAATAAACTAAGTTATTTATCTATAAGACGTGTTATAACTGTTGTACGATTGGTTGGGATATGCATAGGTCGGCTGCTGCGGCTTCGGCTGTGGACAATCCTCCCACAACCACCAAACGGTTACCAGCACCTCCAAATTGATTAACAGCAACGATATCAACGGGATCGTCAATTTACTTATCAAAGTTTTGATGCCGCCTTTCGCTATCAACAGTGGCTTAATAATACCATTGATGACGAGGTCTTTGAAGCCTTTCATTTCCAGGTTTCCGGTTGACGTGCTAGTAAGGAAGGTGGTGACAAGGTCCATCAAACCGTTGGATGTGCTTGTTGCCTTTATCGTAATCGGTTTGAGGAGGCTTGTGAGGTCGGCGCTCTGAAATGAGATCTTCGTAGATGGTTCTTGTGAAATTGACGCCGCGTCCTTGGGTTCCGGCAACTGATTAGATGACGAGGCTGGTGAATATTTTGTTTGTACGTTTCCATATTCAGAATTTCGATGATGCAACTCCGATGTCTGTTTTTCAACGTAATGATATCTGTCTTCACTAGTATTTCCATTCCACAGATTTCTCATATCATTAATTTCTTTCGTGTCATAAATATTACCTGAAGGAAAATTTACACCGCTGTTTAAAAATGATTTTCTTTCAGTCAAAACTTGAGGCCTGCTTCTTTGTTGAGGCTCGTTTCTGAACGGAGTATAATGGGTATTCGAAAATGGTGCGACTAAAGGCGCTTTATGGACTTGAAAAGATGGATATATCATCACAGCGTTCCCTTTAACATATGACCTATGCAGATACTTAAATAACACGACTAAAAATAATAAACGTTTTGACGGACACATGTTCGATAACTGACTAAGCCTTATTAGTAACATGAATTCGTAGCGTCCGAAAACTTCGACCGAAGCAAAACGCTGACACAGTCTCGTTATTTGTAAACATTTGGCCATCAGCTAATGTCGACCCCAGTGCTGCATTCCATTGACATACATTCCGCGACCTTGTCTCCGGCTAAAGCGCTGAGTATACTTTTAGCGAACAAACTCTCTTCCTCCACGTCGTCTATAAACGAAAAAGCAACAGCAGCACCGATATTACTCATCCAGCCAGCCTGCGAAGACTTCTGTATCACGCAGGCGAATCTTTGCGAGCAATCCGTTATTATTCTCGACTTTAGCCCCTTTTTTCTCTTCTTCTTGAAATATTTTATCAATTTCGATATGAGCGGCCACAGCAGCAGCGCTTTCAAGCCCAGTTTTGCGATAAACATAACTATTATCGGCAACAACAACAGTTTCCCGCCTAACAGCTTCACCAGCATTATAATTGCCGCCGATAGCATTATTTTGGCGGCGCTGGATAGAATACTGGCAAACGACGCGAGCGTATCCGCTTTCGGACACGACGTGTAGTAGCCAGAATCGGTATAAGTTTTCCTAATATCGGGATAGTAGTTCGACGAGCCCGTGAAGAGATCCAAAAACGGGAACGGATGCGGGTTCGACGGCGGCGCCGTACTCAACGCATGTTCTTGGGCAGCAGCGAGCGCGGCGACGAAGACGACAACAATTCCGACGAACATGACTAAAAAAACTGTCATGCCCCACTAAGCTTCCCTAGTTTAATACCTCCGCCATGAAATTTTAATTTGAACTTAAAGTGCGCGGCGATGAGAAATTACCCCGGTTTCGTTTCAACGGTCAACGGAAGATAACGATCACGGGGTCAGTGGCAACTACTTTTTAATACTGAAACTTATAAAATTGTATATTTAAACGATATGTAACATGTCGTAGTATTATAATGCCGATATAATATCCTACCGAAGAGATATTTTTTCTACGTCAATTTTTTTATATTAATTAACTAGCGGATTTCATAACGTAATTTACATGAAATCAGTTTGCACGTAATATATTCGATTTTACTCAAACAAAATCACAAAGTAAATTAGATTTTTTCAACTAACTCAAAAATTTGCGCATTACATAGTTTGCTTCCATTCTCTTTTTCAGCCCTTATTTTTTTATAAAAATTTTATGGCATTGTAACAAAACCTCCAAGCCAATTTGAGCCTTTAGTTATCATGTAATAAATAATGAAGATGATAATGATGATCAATTTTAGGTAAAAGACGAATATTGAATTTTATTATAATATAAAAATTGTAAATTAATGCAAAGAAATTTATTAAAATTTAATAATTTTATTCCACTAATTGAGCTTAGCACAGAAAAACTTTAGATCATTTTTTTTTTATCAAAAATATATTTAAATTATTATAACAACAATATGATTTAAATATGTACATAAGTAAATTTTTCTAAAATTTACCAATGCATTTTTTATTTTATACGGCTGAATAAGTTAACAATCTATATTTCGTAAAACGCGCGAAAATTATATCATCACCATTTTGACAAGTAATAAATCAAGGTGGTGTATTTTGCGCGTTGTCAAATAAATAACACAATAATAAATATTGTCGTCGCATATCGTATAGTTTTATATAACAAATAAATGGTTATGGTTACAAGAAGTGCGTATAGAAAAGCTTCGGAAAGTAATGATAGTAGTGATATTACGCAAAACAATATAATACCGCCATGGTGCTCTTCTGGTAAATATTACTTTATAGCATATTTTACTATGCATCAATATTTTGCGTTCGACTAGAATAGATTATACAGTAAACGATTTATTACCATCCGTACTAATATTATAAAGGAGAAAGTTTGTATTGTATGGATGGATGTGTGTTACTCTTTCACGCAAATACTACTGAATGGATTTTAATGAAACTTAAAATTAAAATATGTAGAAAAAGTGCGAAAAGATTGTCGCCGGTGTGGGAATCGAACCCACGTCTTCGGCATTCGCGGCCTGACGCTCTTATTTTTTTCTTATTTTAATTATTCTTATCTTAATTTATTCTTATTTTAATGTTCAATCTTAAGTGCAAAGATTAGCACTATAAACAATTTAAATTTTTAATGAAACTTTACAATAATATAGCTTTTACATCAGAATAAGACATAGGCTATAATTTATATATGCATATTTTATGTATATCTGTCCTTCCGTCTGAATCTTACGCCTTCAGCCTATTCAACGCAGACGTAATCGCGGGCAGCAGCTAGTTTGGAATATTTCTTACAACAACACTATTATAATTTTCATCATAAAATAACGTAGTCAATACTCATAGTAACCAATACGTTTTATTTATTACAAAGGCAGCTCTGAATCACAGAAATTCCATTGCCTCATCATAAATTGTTTGCACGAAGCGAATGGTATTGTTTAAAAATCGTATTTCGTGTCCGCCCGGTCAGCGTTGTGCAGCGACCCACTGACTTGTTTGCATTTCCATCAAATAAACAACTGACTACGAATATTTCATGAGAGGAGCAGTTCGACTGCAGGACCCCCATTGGCTGGCACTTCGCTCCTGGGCCCGTTTCGTTATTAATTCAAAGGCGTCTAGGTGACGGCGACCTGTAGCAATGTAGTCATAGCTTATATATTTATATTCACTCGTAACTCATGTAGTAGTGTGCGCAGGCAGAGAAATATTAAGCTCTCAAATCCCTACCGAGGTGGGATAGACAGATTATCTAATAACATCTTCCAATGTAGAACACCCATATAATATCGGTAAACTCGAATTGGTCACGGTTCTAAATCGAAAAATCGGCAAAGCCGCTTCTCTTTACACATATACTACTAAATACTTGACAACGCAAGAATTAAAATGTATAGTGTTGCGGTTTTATAGTAGGTTTATGCCGTAAGACACAGAAATTATTTACAAAAAATGTGATGCACATCTTATTCATAACTAAAACGCTCAATAGTAAAGTAAAGTAAAGTAAAGTAACAGCCTATACATGTCCCACAGCTGGGCAAAGGCCTCCTCTATACAGAGGGTAATAGTAAATGCTAAAAATAGTAAATAGGGAGGCTAAATAGTAAATGCCAATTAAATTAAAATAAATAATTCCTACATAAACGTCCCTCTGCTCGTAATTTAAGCTTTGAAAAACTCACGTACACAACAAAATGTTCCTTATCCCCTAATATTTGCAGATACAAATAATAAAGCAGGCTCAGGATATATTTAAAGACTAGTTTTACATTTCCACTAACAAAATAAGACAAAAATTATTTTTCCTATAAATAAATATCACCACTTCAAATACGAGTAAGTATGCATACACAAATATCAAGACGGTGAGACTAATCACGGCCCATTCGGGCGTACCGCGTAATACCTTAAGAAGCGTTTACACTTAAGTACAAAACGGCTAAGCGTAATTCCCACGATTACAAAGGCGGCGTTCGACAAAATCCGCTCGAGAATGTTCCTCAGCTCACGTAGCAAGACGAGATCCCGATCAGTAGAGTTTCACCGGCAGAAATTATCGCCGCCTGCCCCTAATCCGCACGACCCAAAAACCGATTCGACGCGTCCAAACTGTTTGCATAATGCAATTGGAGCGAGCCACCACCTGCAATGCAATGAATAACGCCCATCATTTGCAAAGGCACCGCCATTATGTTTTATAAATATTTCTCAACACCGATACGCCACACATTCGTGTTCCATTTTTAAATATTCACATAGATAGGCCTATGATTATGATAGTATCTGTATACCGTTTTTAGAGGCAACGCCATTATAATATTTTGTAAATATGTCTACAGCACTTAATATCATGTTCGATTTTTGAAATATTATTTTTTAGTGTTCATATCATAACATGGCCAATGATTGTAGCTATTCATTATAACGCCCATCATTTACCAATCCACCGCCTATATTTGTTCATATTTATCAACACTTAATGTTCATGTTCCATTTTTGAGTTTGTTATTTAACAGTGTTATTATTGTTAGTTAGTTATTTATATAGTTGTAATTACCTTCCATTTATATAACAGAACAATAGCAATATTACGTTGATAAAATGTCATTAATTATAACACTAAGTAATTTGTAAATATATCGCAATTTAATTTTATAAATATTTTTATATAAATTTTACATTTTACTACGAATTTCAGATTTGAAAATATATTTTTAACGTTTCTATCGGTATTGCACATTTTTTAAATGAAAATTGATTATGTTATCTTACACTGAAAAAGTACAGAAAAAGTTAAGTAAGTTTTTTTGTTTTTAACTAAGATCATTTTTCACAGTTTTTGTTTTTAACTTTAATTCATAAAGGAAATCTACTACAATCTGAATACTTTGACGAACGACAAGTTTCTTAAATAGCATGATCGTATTCGTCTTACATTTTTCGGAGAGCAATAATCTCGTCAGAAAAGGGTTCCGAATGTAGATGCGGTTTGTGAAAGAGAAATATGAATAATGAATAATCCTTCCTTCCGACCCTGTTTGCGTAACAATATTCCTATCCTCGTTTTCTATCATGGGATATCCGATGTGTTTTTACCAAACATCCGTCATACATCATTTTGGCGATGGGAACTTGAATAGTTAGTGTTATACAAAAATTTGCTTTATTTGGCTCTTTATTTTACCTTAAATAGTCACATTAACTAAACCGTTACGGCTCTGTGTGTCTGGGCGCTCATTAGAATATTTTAATTCATCGAACTCGAGTAACATGTCTTCGCAGACAGCACCAGTGCATGTTCGAAATGTTTCATATTAATTCATATGTAAAACATTCACGTTCGTGGTGGGCTATACACTAGCGGGTATCATGTAGCTAAGGACATTACTTCAGTTTAGTCCCAAGTTGAAACATTTTTTTACTTTCAAGTGATAACGTTGAAATTACTAAAAGAAGTATCACTGTAAAACAAACTCCCGACTTTGATTAATTTAAACGTGGACGGGATAAAAAGTTTAAATGAACACAAAGGTTTATTATTTCACTCCCTTAACAGACAGCGGGTTTCTTTCCGCTTTCTTGGTTTATATTTATCTTTATTTTACGAAGCTTACTTTATTGTTATAATATATCTAATCTATTTTTTTAATATTATGCCAGAAATGTATAATCCGTGTTTATATAATAGTATTTATAATATATGGTTGCTATTCACGTTGACTAGTCAATTGGCTAGTCATTATTACTTGCATTAGCTAATTTTATATTATTACTCGGTTGAATATTTTGTTCTTAAAATCATAAAAATTACATCATATAAATTTATAACTAACACTATCTGCAAAGCAACTTGAAAGTTACCGAATGAAGCCGCACGAATAATTGAAACGTGTTTTATAAATAATTCATTTCGCAAGAATATAAAATCTCGTCGTCTTTCTTTCGTTCGCGTATTTCTTTTGAAAATAACCAACATTGGTTTTATATTCACTACATTAACAAATCAACACTAGACGAGTGATTCAACACTGGCTGTGTCGAATCATGTTATTTGAAATAAATTATAATATATAGACAACTCTAACTGTATTGTGGAGTATAATAGAGAAAGAACAGCTTATGTAATTTTTTTTGCAGTAATTACATATATAAATAAACAGTTGCATAATCGAGCTAGACCGGTGAACTACAAATCAAAATCAAAATCAAAATCATTTATTCATCGACATAAGAAAGTTACATTTCATTTATCAATAGTCATATTTTTTTTTAAATCTACCACCGTTTCGTAATGAGGTTCCTCTAGCGGAGAAGAAACAGGCGAAAGAAACTCCGTAGGTATCCTCTTTTTTGTAATTATTTTTTTTTCTTAACAAAAAATTCAAAAATGATAGAACTGATTTTTTTCCTTTTAGAAATAGCTTGGGAGCGATCAACTCATTCCCATGGGTTATTGTCATTAATGTATTCATTTGTATTATAATAACCCTTTTTATAAAGTTTTTCTTTAATAAATTTCTTAAACCTGTTTATAGGCAGGTTTTGCGCATTTACTGTTGCAATGTACATGTAATTAAGAGACAAACACAGCATGCTTAATAATTAAAACAAAAAAATAATAAAAGTTAAACGAAAAGTGTGAACAAAATATCGTTACTTATTACTAACTTATTACTAAATAAATTAAGATTAAAAAAAAGCAGATTGTAATTTTATAAGGCAAGACAAAAAAGAGTAAAATCTATGAAGAAATTTAAGTCATGTGGTATATGGTATTGTTTTAAATGACAAATGTTAGGTTACATACAACATCAAACAGAATACAAATGACTTATACAAATAAAAATTACTTAAATCTTAGCATTAAAATTAATTTTAAGAGCTTCTTATCTTAAGATATTCGTTTATTTTTCTCCGAAATACTTTTAATGAATCAAAATGAATATCAATGGTTGTAGTGCATTCATTAATTAAATTAGACAGGCGAGAAACTGGTGAGTTTTTTCCCAGAATAGTGCGTTTAATTTGCGGAGCTAAGAGAGCGATAGCTTTGCGGGGATACTTGCGAGGTATGCGGTAGTTAAAAAGAGCAAGGAGTTGTAGACAGTCAATATGGTTACGAAGTACCTTATATGCAAACAAAAGATCTAAGATGTCTCTACGATGCGCTAATGATTCCATATTTAAATGTGCTAGTTGATCTTTGTAGAACATGGTTTTGTAGGGTATACCCTCAGAGTAACACTTCCCCGGACGGACCTGCCCATTCGTGCAACAGCGAAGAATGTTGCCTGGCCCTAGCACAGTTCACACTGTACACTTCTCACACTGTACTTCTGCTGTATCGGGTGTTATTGTGTCGCGTCATTATATAATTAGCACATTTTGACGTTAAATCACTTTGCGGACGCCATTCTAGGGAGACTCATAGAGAGAAAGAGAAGACACAAAGCGTCGAAGCCGGAGTACGAAGTGCGCTCATCGTACCCGCTGCGCGAAAACATCTGGGAATATCTACAAGACGATAAAGGGATTTGCGACTTCGCTCGCGCCAAAGGAAAAACCGCCAGAAACTACAGCAAACAACCCAAATGCGGACACAAAAGACGCGGAAAAAACTTTCTCAAATTACTCATATTTTCCCTCTTCGCCGCGGCGTTTACGAGTCAGTATTTTGCGAATAAAAAAAAATGTCTTATCGCAACTCTATTTCCCTTATCTAACATTGTAATACTTAAAAACTTGTAGTGTCGTTTTGGAAGTATAATTCGATCTCAAGCAGGGAATTAATAGCGAAAGTTGCTCCGAGGACGGGCTTTATCTCCTTGCGTAAGTACCGACGACTTCTGTTAATAATATTAATACGGGTTGGGTTTAAGATACTTTTTTTCCGGTCACGGTCCGCACCGAACCCCGATGGCCCTTAGGCGACACCCCATAATTAACGCACGCTTGAGCACATGCGCGGCCCTACACACTGCAGAGGGCCTCATACTAGTGGGTTCTGGCTAAAAACATTTTACAAAACAAAACTTGGCTAAAAACATTTGATTTTAATTTTATTTTTTAACTGATGTTAAAAAATAAAATTAAAATCTTTTTGTGTCTACGCGTGTTTCCTCTGGAATAACTGCGGTACACAGAAGCTTCGCGGATGCTCAAAACAACCAATACATTACAAGTTTGTGAGAGGTGTTAAGAGCAATCTGCTTTCTCAGGAAGTAATTTTAATTAATATCTGAGCACAGGAGTAGGGACATACACTGGCTGTATGTACGAGTAGATCCAATGTGTCGGATTACGTTGGTATATTGGCAACAAAACGCTTTTTTTTTACAAATCCCATGGACTTGTATTAAAATTATTTTTTTTAAAACATTGCCCTTACTTTGGGAAAACATTATCCTGTGTTGTAAAGACGTTTTAACAAACATAAATTTCACGCGGACAAACACCCAGATGCGGAACAACTATCTGTGGGTCACACAAATAGTTGTCCCGTGTGAAATTCGAACCGAATGACCCCCGGCGCTTAATGTCTTCTACCGGGTCATTTGTGGTAGGATCACGGGGATCACGCCTCGGCTGTTGCACGAATGGGCAGGTTCATCCGGGTAAGTACCACGACTTCACAGAAGACCGGCGTGAGGTGGAAGTATAATACTTTCGCGTTTCGTCTGGAAAGTGAAGTAGCCGGAGCCCAATTTTCAGAAGGTTGTCAAGGCATCTGGAACCCTCAGATGTAGCAAATGTCCATGGGCGGCGATACTCACTTAACATCAGGTGAACCACCTGCTCGGTTGGCAACTTTTCACATGAAAACAATTATAGATCACGTTAATTTGAAAAGAATATTATTTAATCTACCGCCCCCTGATATATAGCTCGCCAAATGACTGGCTAATGAGATAGACGCTCCTAATTTATGCAGCTGGTATAGATTGCAGGACGTCTGTGGAGGCGGAATGCTGCCACCGGTTGTTGCACTTAGCAGTGGAATTGTCTCGCGCTCATCGAGCACTCAGGTACGACGAGTGTTCATTACACTGCCTCAACGAGGCAACGCAATTTAAATATAACTTAATATAACCATGTTTTTTTTTACAGACGCACAACGCTTCTGCGTAGAGCTTTCTTGATGAGGTCAAAAAATACACCAGGTATTTATTTATTTATTTTATTTTATTTTTTTTAAAAACATTGCCCTTACCTTAGGATAATATTATCCTGTGTTGTAAGGACGTTTTACAAACATAAATTTCACGCGGACAAACACCCAGATCCGGAACAACTATCTGTGGGTCACACAAATAGTTGTCCCGTGTGGAAATCGAACCCACGACCCCCGACGCCAAAGCCGATACCTTGGCGACTGCGCCACGGAGTCATCTGACGGGTAATATACAGTCATATACGGACGGTATAATTAGTCACTTTTAGAATTGTGTTCTTTATAGTGTACTTTTTCCCTGTATGAAGAAATAAGCAGCTTATTTTCCGTTAACTTATAAAACCAAATGTATGAAAAAGTTATATATATATATATATATATATATATATATAACGAACGACGTGGGAATTATTTTTAACACAATGACAAACACGGGCGACGTGGACTTAATCTTACGAAAGTTCCTTCTAATAAATTTAACGGGGAGAATGAATACCTTCATACCTCATACTGTATCAGGTTATTCAGCAGTGCTAATTCGAACGTCCGTGGGGCATTCTCGGCACTTGTATACTGAATTCCATATAGACTGCAGCAGTCTGCATTGTTGTCAATTTACAAATTTCCCGTACCTGGAAGAGTCAACGCTGTGCGAATGTATGGAGGAGGCACTTCGTTGAAAAGTAATTAGTATGTTGCTGTAATAAAAGGCTGTGATAATTTATTTTTTCACAATATTATGGTATCGAATTGACAAACACGTGCAAATAATATACATTAAATAATGAAAATAGAATGAAATTTATTACGTATTTTTTTTCGCAATAAGTGTCAGAAGAGCACTATTATTTTTATATTTATTCAATAATTATACACTTAATAGAGAAATACAGAGTAAACTATTTCATAATCCCTTTAATTATATACGATAAAAATATGACTAAATAACAAGAGCTAATTAATGCCTTTTTTACCATATCAAAATTCTTTAACACCTCCTCTGAGAAAACAGACATGCGCTACGCCATTATTAATTTAGTTGATATCTGAATTAAACGGAAGTCTGATTGTATCGCTATAATCATTGGGAGCCTTAGAAGACTTCTATAATATATTCACATTAAACGATTACATTTTGTATATATTCCAATATATAATCATTGTCATCATCCTCCTGTCCTTATCCCACCTAAGTGGAGTCGGCACAGGTTTGAATCATGTTGTAACCGGTTTTGGCTTTTATATTTGTTCGGCCGCCTGCCTGACGTCAACCATCCGGACAATTATCTCTGGGTCACACAAATACTTGTCCCGTGTAGGAATGGAACCCACGACCCCGACGCCAAAGCCTATCAACGGCGCCACCGAGTCATTAATATATATTCCGTTATATGAATTTACGATGTTATATGAACGAATACGTGTTTACCAAAATCTGTGACTGACATAGATGTATATGAAAGTAACCTTCCATTCTCTTCAAATCGAGTCCAATTTCTACATAATGAGATTATAATCGATCACTGCGTGAACGAATGTAACAGTTTAAATCTATTAGTACAAAGTCCTACAAACTTTTAACAACGATTCCGGAACCGTTACAAGAAATACAACTTGAATGAATGACAATACCTAATGGCGTGAGATAACGGCGTAGGAATCGAGAGAATAATAGTGCTGACTCATCGTTTTGCTCCTACTGATTGACAGTTAAACTTACCCCAGGCTTTCCTCTACTGTGATCGATCACAAACTCCGTAGATATTACGTAAAGCTAAATATAATACTTACACTTACAACAATTGTTCTATTCATAAATCTTTAATACAAGGAAAGATGGGCACCTAGGCAAAAACCCATATTGTTATATTGTTACTATCAGTTTATAATTAGTTTTAGTCTTATCCTCAGGATTTTGTAAAATTAAGGAGCAAGGATCAATTTTCGCCATCATAACATTTTTATAAAATTAATGAGAGATAAGGTTCTTTTCAAAGCGCTAGTAGGTAAACTGTTCTCAAAAGTAACATTGAAACATGTTTTAGTTTATTCTTAAAATCCACTTTTTCTTGCTTATTAACGAAAAAATCATCATTCTTGATTATTATGTAGGGTTTGTGCAGATTTGTTATTTCATCTACTATTTTTCGAGATAGCGGCCTACAATAACAAAAGCAGCAATAAGAAAATTGTGTAAAAGTGTTTTACAGGCACAAGAGATATTAAGTAAGTTAATTAACATCACGGTAATTTCATTAACGGACAGTAATATTATGTTCTAATAACTAAAATCGTTTTGAGTTGTTATTTCATACAAGTATGAGCCGTGATAGCTCAGTGTCCGGGCGCTCGCCTTAATTCAATGTATACTCGAGCAACCTGAGTTCGATCCCCGGTGCCGGCACCAATGAAGTTTTTAACTTTAAGTGCTGAATTATCACGTGCTCCGCGGTGAAGGAAAACATCGTGAGGAAACCTGCATATTTTCGGAATAATAACAAAAAAAAATGTATTTCGAAAATATGTGAAGTCCGCCAATCCGCAGTGGGGCCGCGTGGTGGACTATGCCCTGATATCCTCTGTATAGAGGAGGCCTTTGCCCAGCAGTGGGACATGAATAGGTTGTTACTTTACTTTACTTTTTTTTTACAAGTATGAAAAATTCAAAGACTTTTAATTCATATTTTGTTTGGTGTCTATGGTATGGTATTTTTGTCTACAACTGACTTTTTGTTATACACACACATCATACCCGCCTTCGCTAGGGTCAAAATGGGTTATGTTAGAATCTTTCGTCATAGGGTCTTGAAGAGGCCGGCCTTTGGCGTCGTATTAATGAAAGGTCTCGATCGTGGATAAGTAGTACTAGCCACCTTGAATGAGATTTTTAGATCCCGAAGATAATAGGTGAGGACGCATATATAGACGGGGACAAATGTGAGGATATTATGTTTTTTCTTGTAAGATTTTGTAATTCAGATTCTGACTAAGATAAGTAAATAAGATGCATAAACTGCCCCATAAAATATAAACCATCAAAAAGTACAAAGAAGGCTTAAAATGTTATCGCTGTGTGTGTAAACGTCCTTTTTACTCTTCAGTACGTAATGGAGACTAAATTTAAGACTGATTTTAAATTTTTTATGGAAAAATTTGTCTTGCGAGCAGCCGGTTTACCTGATTTTAAGTGATTACCACCGCCTTGATATCCCAGTGGCCAATCACGTAACACCGAAAGCAATTACGTGACCCAACCACAATACAGCCAATTTTGGTCCTGTAATTAGAAGTATCTCATAGTATTTAGATTAATTTTAAATATCCCATATAACGAAAATATTATTAAACCTAAAGACTCTTAGAGATAAGTTGTCACTTAATGATTAAGTGCCACTAGAATGAGTTCTCTTTCTAACTCCTAAAATTATATTTACATTCCTATTTACTGTCAGGATAAAAAAAAACTCATCAATTATTAAGTATCCGATTTCTTATCAATGTAGTATAGTTAAAGTATATAATACTTATAATATAGCTCATTTAATTTTAAGTCTTGTTATAACGTACAAAATGTCAAAATCTCAGAAATAACAAAGAAAAAGTTCCAGAAAGATATATTATTTATCACATATATATTCTTTTACTCACATTCGGTTTAACCGCCACCGGAATGGACGGAGCGAATGTGTTATGTGCTAAAAAATGTTGCCGCTTTGGCGCACGTCCTATTTGCAGAGTTCAGTGACGGCGAAAGTGTAACGCGAAGGGGCCACGTCGAGGGGGTGAGGGCTTCAAAAGGCGGCAACACTGTGGAATGGGGTGGGAGAGTTGCTCTCTGGGGGGTCATACCACTCTGGCGCGACGCCCCCCCACCAGACACTGTACTGGCGCGGCGAACGCCCAAGCCCTCCGACTGCTGGCCTTTCAGGTGTGGATTTCCTGCATACGGTATCATCTATAACTTAATTAGTTATAACACTGTCGTTACGTCGCGGGTTGCGGTCGATTACAGAAATTTTGCACGTAGAAGAACTCCAAAAACAAACACGTTTTAGCGTCATCGCACAATAGACATTAGACATAATCTGTTATAGTAACGTTGGTTGTTTATGTTTTTGGCTGAGCTGGGGATTTTTATTGTGAACTAAAAATTTTTTCGTAAAACAGTTTTGGATGCGAATGTTCACTCGACTAAGAAAATTACATGCTACGCTCGCCAAAGAGTCTGATTACCTACTATTAAACAGATTACAATACAGAAAATTTACCATCGTCATAATATAAATCAATAAACCGACCTTCTCGGGTGGCATATAAATAAAAATTATTCGGCTAATAATCCAAAAGTTATAAAAAAAAATATCGCCATAAAATATCATTAGTTACGTCCGCCCTAAACTTTCGTATCGTTCCATTTACGAAACTTTCATATTGCGAGAGCCGTTAACGGAGCACGCAGTAAATCTCTAATATCTCTAATCGGCCACGTAATAAGCGCATTACGCTTAAACCCGCCAACAGCGGATCATACGGCGAAGTTATTATCGAGTTAGCGCATAGAGCGAGGTTGGACTATATCGGCGTCGAACACGTGCACCCCGACACGGCCCGCAGCGCACCTAAGAACTTTGTCGTTTACGTAAGTACATTTATGCAATAATGCGCAGTGAACGCTCAATAAATGTGGCCCTACGAAACGCCCGGTGTAATTTAACACATCGCCGCTAGTCGCTATGTATTTGCGTTACTGATGTTACGCTTTCAGCCATTAGACTATTAAAGCTTCATCGAGCGCAGAACCGGTGTGCTATCCAGAACCCACGGGTTTGATGCCCTCCTCAGTGGATAGGGCCCATGTACCCATGCTAATCGCTATGTCATTGACGATCAGTGTTAGTCATGAATTTCTTACAGTTGTAGTATAGATACATTATATTTTCGTTGACTAATAGCATCGTTTCGTACCAAGAGCCGTGATAGCCCAGTGTCCGGGTGCTATCTTTTCTTTCAATATACTCCAGCAACCCGAATTCAAATCCCGGTGCCGGCACTAATTAATTTGTTACTTTTAAGTCCGCCAATCCGCAGTGGGGTCGAGTAAGCGGACTTTGCCCCAATACTCTTTGTACAGAGGAGGCCTTTGCCCAGCAGTAAGACACATATCTAAAGGCTGTTACTTTACTTTACTTTTATAACATTACAATTTCTAGACGGTAATATGATCCGGGATATGTTCTAGAATTCAGGACGCACCATAACTAAAATAAAATAAAGCAACCGACCTTAAAATATGACCAATATTATATTCACAAGGCGTAGGACTTTTAAGGTTTTTCATTTTGTCATTTTATTCATAAGAAATTTGTAGGCCATTTGACAATTTTATACTTTGTAATTTTTTTTTAATGGATCGAATCAATTTCATCCCAATTTTTAGTCAACGTAAGGATATAACGTACAAATCAACAAAAGAAGTAGGTAACGTATAAAGTTTTACCGTGAATGCCTTTTACGAAGAGGTTTGAAGATACCGATTTTCAATCAGAACTTGCATAGTACATATCAAGGTCTCCTATAAACTCTTCACTATCAGTACATAGTATAAAACAAAGTCGTCCCGCTTTCTGTCTTTCCCTATGTATGCTTAGATCTTTAAAATTACGCAACGGATCTTGATGGGTTTTTTAACTATATAGAGTCATTCAAGACGAAGGTTAATATGTATTGTTAATGTACTATACCCGTGCCAAGCCGTGGCGGATAACTAGTGTCTAATAATCCTCCAGTACATTTTTATAAATGAAAACTATTTAAACAACGTATTCTTACAGAACTTACTCGAGAACAACACGCGGCTTGAAACCGCGCGTGGTACTTACATATACAATATGGCACCCAAACAATACTTTTCGCTGAGCGACAGGGGCTTACCGGTTAAAAGTGTTGCATTCAGAGTTCTCTCTAATCAGGGAAACCCGAAGTATACTTGTATATATAGAATACATTTGTACGGAAGTGACGTTGACGAGCAAACCATTGTTTTGTAATAAAGGTTATTTAGAAATTGCTTTTTAATTAATATGTACATTGTTTTGAGCATAAAAGATCAGGTCGTTGTATTCCTGAAATAATTCAATTTCAGATAACTTCCATAATGATCCTATGGTTTACTTTTATACTTAAACATTAAAGGGTCCCCAACATGTCATATCTCATGTTTACATTGACATTTTCTCGAAAATTATGCAACTCATAAATTGAAAATACTTTCACTTGCTTAGCCGTGAAGGAGAATATCGTGAGTAAACTTTCGTATTTTCGAAAGAATTGCAAAGAAAGAATATTTCGAAGATTGATGTGAAGTCTGCCAATCCGCAGTGGGGTCGCGGGGTGTGGGTCTACTAAAATAAGACAAAATTAATATTAACTTTAAAAAACGTGACAAATGAAGACAAAAAAAAATACTTCATTTAAGCTGGACAAATATGTTATTCGCTATTTAAATATTGTTTTTAAGTTTAATAACATTTACTGCTTGCTAATGCCATATTTATAAAACCATAAAGATTATTACTCGAATTAACAATAAAAATAATAGATTAAAATATTACCTATTTTGATCTGATTTCACTGATTGTGAACCAAAACTGACCACTATCGAGTCTTGTGATTAGAGAAAATGGCACGTGGCAGCATACTGCTGTGCGTAACATTGTTGTCAATATCGGACAGACCTTTGTGGCATGCCAATAACAATTGCCTTAATGTCAGAACAATGCCCGTTACCGTCGAATTTGGAGCTGTTGTGCATAATCCACATAGGAACGTAACGTAATAACTCGATTCACGTTCTATCGGGATTCGTCTCATGAATGAATGAATGGCGTTCCTTTGAATAATTACTAATAAACCAGCTTTAAATCAATATACTTGCCTATGAATGTATGATTTCTCACTTTATAGAAGTGGCAAATAAAACGCTAAATTAAACATGAATAGCTTCAAATTTAAACATTGTATAATTTAGAATGATTGAGTTTGAAAAAGGTTTTTTTTTTTTTAATTTAGAAATTATTTATTTCTTCGAACTCCGACCAATAGAAACTCAAAAGTAATCGGCTCTATAACAGGGCCAGGGGAAACTGAAAATCAGCGCTATCCAGTGAGCCTTATGACGTCTGTTGTAGCATAAACTGAGTTTCCACTTTTTGCCACGGAGATTTTCTTTTTTTTATCCCTAATTAATTTTAATATTTTTTTAAAAATTTATTACAATAGTGTTAGTATTCTTTTTAAATTCTCTTTTTTTGTTTTCATGTTTAATTAAACTTAAATTAATTGCACATTCAATTTTTTTTTTTTGAGAATAAACGTTATGGCAACAAATTATTATTAACAAAAATTTGGGTTTACAAGTCTGTCTCACGATATGTGCGTTTGTGCTCATAGTCAAGCTTTTACACCACACTTTCACAGTCACCAACGCAGCGTTGCCAATTGGTGCATCAAGACATGAAGACCATAAACTGCGTCTGATTTTCCGCAAATACTTTTTTAAATGACAAGCCCTTTTATCCTTATCAATAGTGGATAATAGATTAATGGATTTTTTTATATACATAATAGTGATGTGATGGATCATTAAAATTGTAAATCCGCGGATACGGATCTTAACTAAATATCCAGGAAAATCTCAATTTTGGTTAATCCACCGTCCTTGATTTTGTTTCTAATTTGAAGAGTAAATTATATTTTAGTTTTTCAGAAATTAACAAAAAAAATTGTTTCAAGTAGCACATTTACACCCACGGGTCAAAGGAATAAAAAAAATTGCTTACAACTTTGAAAAATTAAGTAAATCTCACAGCAACTAGAAAAATTACTAAGGACAAACCAATTATTTTTGCCAGAGTCCAGAAGAGTCTATGGCTACATAGTGATGATAATACGAAAACTTATTTGCTCATACAGTATTTGTCAGAAAAAAGATTATCAAGATAACCACGATCCACTAAAGTATTGGCAGATTAACAGTAAAAAGTTTGGATGTCTCAGCCATACGACTTGACCGTGAACCTGCCCCCTGAAAGAAAGAAATGTTTATTTGGTATTTTAATAAAATAACCATGAAAAATTATCAGCACCAAAATGGTCACCCACTCAGTATTACATTGCGAAAAAATTTCGCGATTGCTGGTTTTCAGTGGAGCCTGGAGAGGTCGATAGATGACGACGATGACAGTAATAATAACAATAAAAATAAACAAACAAATAAATAATCTTGCGCCCCAGCGTGTTCAACTCCCCACTACTGGAAAAATATTGTGTGATGAACTGTTACAAAATAAAAGTATGTTTATCAGTTTTCTAGTTCCCATAGTAATTGCTTAGTTTGTGACTAGAGAACTTTGTGTAAAAAATGTATCCGAAAATGTTTATATTTATATTGCTCGCACATTTATCTTCTATCATGACTTTTGGGGGATAAAGCTGACAAGTTACTCTTTTTGAAGTACAATTTCCCGTTCACTTTTAATTATGTTTTTAATTAAAAGTTAACACTTTGAGTTTAACAGTGTATTAATTTTTATAAATTTAATTCTTATTTTACTTAATAATTCTATCATTTAATTACGATTATAAGGGTAAAGATCCGTAAAAGATCCGTCAATAATGTAGCATCTTTTATTCCTACGGATATCCCGGAACATCACTAATACATAGCAAATGTCCCAGTTATTTTTTTTATTTAAACAGTCTTGCTATTAAGATATTTTATTAGCAACTCGATCAGCTCTGTTGCTCCTCAAACGTGAAATAAATTGTCCGTTCCGAAGAATGTATTACAGAAACTAAGCAACCAGGGATTTTACGTTTTGTATGTTGATGTTCTAATTAGTCTTATTTAATATCACTAATCAAAAATTTTATAAGTTTATTATTTTGTAATTTTGCGCGTTTTCCGCGTAATTCCTAAAGTCTAGTGATTGTCAATTACGCTACTTAGCGGAAATGTGTAAATTCAATTACGTAATATATCAATATCGGACTTTTTTCTACGAACTTTTGTCAATGTTTCTACGGTTGTATGTAAGTAATTCATACTTTTGTAAGTATAGTCAAATGAAAACTTTTTCAATGAAATTCAAATAATAAACAATTGTCCAGGAGTACGAATAATTGCATTAGGTATCACAGTGCAAATAAGATAACGTTAATATCTCACAATACTAGGTAGCTAATGGTGACATCTCAGGCTCGCATACACATCATTATAGATTTCCCTCATAGACTGCCACGAAGAATGACCCTGAGCCACTTGTTATAGATACCTGGCTCTCCGGTTACAGAAGAACCAAATAATGTCGGACTCGCACAGACTAACACCCTACGGTGGTCGCGATCTACTCTAATGAGGGATCACGGTATCTCCGTGAACGTATTTGGAACGCTACCGCTCCTTAGCTTGCCTATGATAGACCCGTTCGGGAACGGCATTGCGCTGGTCCCAGCAACCGCTCATGACCCCATTTCCGTTAGGAGGGCCGTGACGAGCCGCATGAACGCGTCGGTGTCCCCGTCTCCGAATGGGATCTGTTCTCTCTCAATCCCGCTCAGCAGCCTCTTCCTGGACCACAGTCTCACAGAAAAACGCTACGGCGGTCCACGCAGTTTCTTCTCTCATCACCGCCGACACGACTGCGGGCAAATTGAGGTTTCTTCCAATGTGACCCTCCGCTCCGCATCTCAGGCGGGGCACACCGCCAAGGTATGCGATGCAGTCCTCTTTGTTCCCACCAGCGGAAGCAAATCGCCGTCGCCTTACGTCCAATTTTCCACAGATAATCACTAAAGCATCCATGCTCGGTGATTATCTGTATTAACCTGTAGGTGAGTCTACCTTGTCGCCGCTGCATCCAGGTGTCGAAGACCGGCAGGAAGGCTTTCTACAAAATGGTATCGCACCTGGCCGGTTTTTTAGTTTCTTCATATGAGTTTTTGTGAATTAATCAATTGAACGAAAATCATATTGCGAAAAAAAAAAGTAAAGTAACAGCCTATACATGTCCCACTGCTGGTCAAAGGCCTCCTCTATACAGAGGATATCAGGGCATAGTCCACCACGCGGCCCCACTGCGGATTGGCGGACTTCACATATCTTCGAAATATTTTTTTTTTGTTATTATTACGAAAATATGCAGGTTTCCTCACGATGTTTTCCTTCACCGCAGAGCACGTGATAAGTCAGCACTTAAAGTTAAAAACTTCATTGGTGCCGGCACCGGGGATCGAACTCAGGTTGCTCGAGTATATTGAATTAAAGGCGAGCGCCCGGACACTGAGCTATCACGGCTCTGCGAAATAGAATAACAATAATTATAAGGACTAATAGGAGAGCTGAAAGATTGACAAAATGGTGATCATCTGCTAATATTAGAAGCAACCCATGGACATCTACAATAGCCTACAAGTAGCTAAAGAATTGCAAAGTTTTACAAGGGTAGCTCCCAGCTAGGGTTGCCAACTGTTTTTGGGAAAAATACGTATCAAAATTTTCAATAGGGAAAAAATAAAGAACTTCGAAGAAAAACGATTTTCAGACATATTTTCGTGTGATTCTAGGACACTGACAGTTTTTCGTTATCCTTAAATAGAGTAGTTAAAGACAATAAAAAAGTTATCGCCCGGAAATAGAGTATTTTCACATACTTTATTCTTATGCAAAAGTATAATTTCCAAAAATAAAGCAGGATAATTATGTTATAAAGTATGGTTGGCAACCCTACCCCCGGCTATCTTCGATTTATAATAATAAAAAGTTGAAATAAAACAATGTGTGTTTTAAACCAATATAATTAGGTCAAACACTGCTGGAGAAACACATCTATGCAGCGTTCCAGTCCTGAGCGGAGCCTCCCCAAGAGGGTGCAGGGGCGGCGGGAGCAGCGGCGGGCGCAGCGGGAGCTGCTGTGCCCCACTCGTCCTGGACCTAAACATAAATAATGATAAAGAATATACATAATAAAAATGTCACCTCATTCTTTGTTAAATGAAAGTATTTTATAGATTTAGGGCATTCTCACTTTTATTTAATAACCATTGAATACTTTTCGGCAACATTCTTGCTCATGGGCCTTATTAGGTATAATTTTATAAATTCAACATAAAAGCTCTCATGTTATTGTTAAATTGAGTAAACCAATACAGCTTGTTATGTGCTTATGACCAAATAATGACATTTAAAACATTATGTATTACTTCATTTTATCACCCTTGTCAAAAACTTTGAATGTAATGAAAAATTTATTTTCCACTACTTAGTTATTACATGGTTCAATTTCAACAATGTAAATAAAGCTCAATTAAAGCACTCCCAAGCTGTTCCAGAAATATATGTTTTCCCAAATATAACTTAAATAAATATTTTTAGTAAAAGAATAAAAAATAATTTACCTGGGCAACCCAGTCTTCATTTGCTGGTGGTGCTCCAAAAGCAGGGGCTGCTGGTGGTGCAGATTCCTCCGCCCATGATGCAACAGGTTCAACAGGCTCATTCCAATCCTCATGCACTGGTGCCGGTACATCAGGCTTAGCCACCACAACCGCCTTAAAATAATGAAAAGGTATGTTTAATAAGCATATATTTAATCTACTTATTTAGTACTAATTTTTTATTGATTTTAAGCTTCCCAATGAGCCCCAGCTCCCTTGAACACTCAACGATTTTTTTTATGATGCTAGTGTGCACCCACGATGAAATTTAAATGTGAGCTTAATAGATAAATTTCGAAAGCCAAAGCAATACCTCCTCTTCAGATATTTATTGTTAAATGTTATTTGAGTGCTAACTGTAAAGATTCTCGCTAGATGGCCCTACAATATTATTTAAAAATGCAAGATAGAAGTAGATAGCTGGCAAGATTTTCTACCCGTGAGGATATTGGGCACTTAGTTTAATTGACTAGATGTGCGGGGCTCATTACCCAAAGATTCAGGCTCATATTCTGGCAGCACCTAACTTTTCCTTCACAATATATCTAGTTAAACACTTTATCAATTATTAAACTGTCACTTATATTTTACCTCAAGTGAAACTAAAACTGAGTACTGAGGTAATACTAAAACTATTTTCAATTTTTATAACTGGTCAAGACATAATTTATTCAATAACCCTCACACTAAAGAGAGAAACTAAAGTCATTTGATCCATTTCTATCAAACTTTATGGTACATTGTTTAATAAAAAATGCTAAATTTTACCTGCTCCTTAGCTTGTTGCTCTTCCTTCTCGCTTTCTTCAGGGTCACGGTAGAAGAACAAGTCTACTACTACATCCCAGCGCTGGTCACGTGCAAGAACACCTCGCAGCCTCAATACTTCACGAGCCAGCAACCACCACATCAAACCAATGGAATGAGATGACTGAAATCACACAAAATAATTAAACTTAATGTTTGAGGGGCGTGTATATATGATAAATAAAAATTGAAACCAACAAAAAATCTTTCAATTGTAAACTTAATAACCTTAAACTAGATTAGTAGTAGTCTAGTCTTAGGTTATTCTAGTCACTAGAATTTCATATTTCTTACCTATATGTTTATTATTTTGTAATAATAAAACTAAAAAATTAAAACGTAAACATATATCATTATTTCAGTCTGTTACAGTCTACTGCTGAACATATGCCTCCAACACAGACTGCGATGAAGCACCATAGAATGTTTTTTAAGTTTTATCACCACTATTTTAGAAAACTGTGAGGAAAGTTTTTCACATTTATTTAGAAAATTGTGACTAATTTATCCAATAATCTGTTTATTTTAGGTGTTTAAAAATTGCTTACCTTGGTGTTGCATGGGATAGCAATATCAACAAATCGAAGTGGTGAGTCAGTATTACAGAGAGCAATAACTGGAATATTGACATAGGATGCCTCTGTAATAGGTTGATGGTCTTGAGCCGGGTCCAACACAATAAGCAGGCGGGGTTCTCTGAATGCAGCTTGGATCTATTGACGAAAAGACATACTTGTCACACTATCCTAGTAAAAAATAAAGAAGATGACATGTTTTAGAACATAGATCAGATGGAAATATAATCATATAAGCTTTAAAAGCGATCAGTGGTTCCTTAGTTAATTTTATCATCATTCTATAATATAAAACGCTTCCTGATATCTGTTATGTTTTATTAAACCCTTAATATAAAGAGTTTATAAATAGGCTAACAGGTAACAGCCTATACCTGTCCTACAACTGGGCAAAGGCCTTTTTGCAGTAGCTGTTAGGAGGAATAGACCACTCTAGGAAATTTAATTAAGAGGGAGCACCTGGATACTGAACTATCACAGCTCAATGTCCAGGTGCCACGACCATAAAAATTCAATTCACAAAGAGTAATTGTCCCTCAAAAAAAAAAGGAGCTATTTGCTCTAAAGTAAACAAAAGAGAAAATTGGAAATGTATTGCCCATAATGAATTAAGACAAGAACTTCTTTCGCCAAATTTCTTTTAATACAAAGCAATTGTTCAGGATCTGGGTATTTGTTCCCAAGAAAGATGATAGGAAAGCGACTACTCATAAAAACCTAACTAATACCAATAACATGATTCACATGTTGTGCTGAACCCAGAAGATGTAGATATTCCATTTAAAATTATTTCACAAATAGTTTACGTGTGCAAAATTTAAAACCTTGCTGTAATCTTGCCTGATTAGTGAAGGCACCAGGTGTGAAACGTCCAGCGATAGGCGTGGCACCAGTATGCGCTGCGAACTTGAGTACAGCACGTTGTCCAAACGGCCTGGACGATATAACGAACACATCGGCGGGGTTTTCAATGGCGACAACGGCACGTGCAGCCAGTACCAGTTTCTCCCATGTGCGGCGCAGATTGATCACGTGCGTTCCATCCGCACGGCGTTTGTAGACATAGGTTTCCATCTATAACCATATTAACCGGTATTAAATAAAAATATATAACGATAAGTCAAGTAATGTGTATATTTTAGCTCAGTTGGGAGAATTGATCCTCATAATTTTCAGACATTATAAATGGAACGGATTCTCGTCTCATCATTATAGAAATGAGTCGATGGACTTTAGTGTAAACAATACTAACCTGAAAATTAACATTTTCAGAACCCAGATGGGTTGTTGCTGCCAGCATCTTGGTGACATCTTCCTCGTTGAGGGCCAAGATATCTAATCCTCCCGACATCGTTGCGTTTATTAGAGTAACGACTAAACCTGTAAAACAAACAGAAGAGTAATGCACACCGGAATGTGACGAAAGCTACTTTATTTTAATAAAATATATTACACTCTAAAGAAACGGGAACCACAAGAAAGCTTCATCGTTTTTTGAAACAATTTCTAAAAAGGATTAAAATAATATATTAAGATTTGAATAAATAACTTACGCGTGTAATGCCACTGGGAGGCGATTGGACATGAAAGAACTGTCAATTCTAGTTTGACACGTTAGTACCTTCGGCAGCGGTTTGATTTGATATAGTTGAATCGATAATTTAATCGATTTAAAAAAATAATCCGTGATTTTATGTTATCTGTTCAAATTAATATTAAGTACCTAATTGTTACTAGCCAATCTGAAAATATGGTTAAAAGTTTTCATTTTACCTAAAGAGTAGAAATTCATTATTGCTTTATGCCTAGACAATCCAAAGGTAAAAAAATGCGTTTAATCGTTATATCTAATCCTTAACGGCTTTAGGACCGGACATTCGAACACTGTTCATGTGCACCGACTTACGGTGCAAATTCTTTCAAATCATCCCTCTTCTAATACCAAGAAGTAATACCACATGGAATTACTTTTATTCGACATCGTAAAGACGTTTGACAAAGCCAAATTAAAAAAATATATGGCTAAAGTCATATCAACCTTTTATATAAAACCCTTAAACTGATCCAAAATTGATGTATTCGTCGTGCACCCGTTTCCCATGGTATATGTTACCCCCTAAATTGCATCGCGATTTAAAAATAATAACTATGACCACCTTCGTTAAATAAGCGTTGAAAAGAATCAATATGCATTCAACTCCTTTTTTTTTAACCGTGCTTCTGAGATTACGCTGACAGAATATAATATAGCATATTAAATAGACGATCCAGATGATACTTTAACGCTCTCGATACCAGGGTATCACTGAAAATTTTTACAACTGACCAGTTAGAAAAATATCCAATGAAACTTTTTCTTATGTTAAACTCTTTGGTAACCAAATGTTAAATATTGCATTCATTTGTTTTTGTGAATTGGAATTAGTAGTTTCGTTGTGGTCTTACTCGACAACAGACCTATGAGACTTTTATTAATGAGGGCTTTTAAATCCATGCCACTGTTTACAATTGGTTTAATGATTTTGATGATTACTAAGCGTGGGCACAGCAATTTCAGTGATGATCTGCTTGGTGAACGTCCTTTAACAGCGACATCTGAAGATAACATCAGTGCTGTGCGACGTATGATAGATGAAGATAAGAGAGTGACCTTCCTGCAGATTCGGCAAGCTTTGGCATTGGTATGAATCAAGTACAAAAAATATTACAAGACCGTTTGGGCGTCAGGAAGCTTTGTACCAGATAAATTCCCCATACTTTGACCAGAAACGCATGGTTGTGCTGGATACGATAGTTGTGCTGGAAAAAGGAAGGATAGTTACTGCAGTTCCGTATGTTAACTGTTGTTTGCTTGTTATATTAGAAAATATTCGACAGCAGCGTCCTCGAAGCAGGATCCTCCTCCTCCACTATAACGCTTCAGTACAGTCCGCGAAACGAACAATCGAATATTTGACATTTTAGGTATCGAGATAATGAGTATGTACTTATTCACCATATAGTCCCAACCTAGCGCCCTGCAATTTCATTTATTCCCAAGAAGTAGCGACGTTATGTTAGGGCACGGTTGGGCGACCACCCAGGGTACTGGATGGCGCCCCACTATATCTAGCTTATTTAAAGTTCCCTAAACTTACTAAACAATCACTGTGTTGGCAACTCTAGAATGAATCGCATTGTCGAATCCGATCGATCCGAGCCCTAGATACAGTTCATGTTTTGGAGAATCCCCGACAATGTAGTAAGCCTAATCTTCAAAAGTTTGTTAACGCATCTGTAACGCTCGGGTGTAGCATCAACCATGGGCGGCGGTATTCACTTAATATCAGGTGAACCGCTTGCTCGCTTGACAACTTTTCACATAAAAAAGACATTATCTATCTCTCTTTAACATTTTAGTTAAAAGAGTTGGCGTTATTTTTGACTAAGCGGAACATTCAGCTCACTCTCATTCATGCTCAGTTAAAAGAGTTGTTGACGTTTGTTTTATCTAAACTAAAAAGTCGCGAAACAAGAATAAGCAACGCTAGAGCAGTTTGTTATCATTGACAATTGACACTCAGAACACCAGTTAAAAAATTTTAGCTTCTTAGTTTCAATAATTTTCTGCTACGTCATACTTTTTCAAATTAATGTCGTTAGCAAATCACTACAATCAACAGACATGGATCTCGGTAAATGCACAGAAATAGTGCACTTTCGTGCATGAATATAGAAGTTGCCTTTTACTGCGAATAAATTTGCTGAAGAATTAGAAATTCAACCTTTGTTTAGGGCCACAACTAAAATTCTATGTGTTGAGCGTCAATCTGGTGAAACTGCCCGCGATGAGCTTATAACTTCTCCAGAAAAAAAATGACGTTGAATTTTTTAACTGACTTATAGATTTCAGTCAAGGAAAGATTTAAACAGTTAAATGAGTACTCTGAAACAAGGTATTTTTTGTACTATATAAAACAGATTCAACAAAAATCTGACCTTTGTGGTGATCTCCAATTGACCCCTGTGGCAATAGAACCCATGACCCCCTACCTAGAAGCCAATACCTTGGCAACTGCGCCACGGAGTGATCTAAACTTAAGTTGATTAAAACCTATCTACGACCAAGAATATTCTTATCTAGGCTGACAAACTTAACAATTTTGTCAATCGAAAATGAAATTCCTGAAAATATAGACTTTGATAACGTATTACAAGAGTTCGCTGATAGAGTATAGAATATAGAGAATAGATAGGTTAGAAAAATAAAATTTTATTAGGTTTTTTTTAATAAATGGTTATTTCAGCATGTTTTTTGTATGAACTATTGTGTATCTTTGTCTTTTGTCGTATTGTTTGAATCCCAGTTATGAAGAAATTGAAATGAAGAAATTTCGCTTAGGTTGCAGGTAGTGCTAAAACTGGCACTGTTCCCAAGAATCAAAGATAAACTTTGAGCCCTAAATATGCGGTAAGTGCGTTTAAAAATGCCGTATAAGAGATCATTTAGGGAAAATGAGGACATTGCTTTTTTCAGTGGTTCCATCGAATGCAAAGATGTATAGAGGGATCAGATACTACTTCGAGATACCTAAGAAGTATCAGTGTGACCCACGTAAATATTTAAGTCTCCCGTCGCCACGCGTCTCCGGACAACGTATCGCTTCATGGATGATGATTAATGTCCATCGATGTCTCGATATGCACACGATACCCCCAGTCTACTTTAGAATCGCTTACATCGTATTGTTATTATAATTTAATTGCAAGTCGTTTAATCATGGCATAGTTAATTACGAAAGACATAAGTAATTTTTTATCACAATTTGGCTGTTTATTAAATGTATTGAAATACATATACGGTAAACAAGCAATGTTTTTACTGCTTTGCGATCTGTGCTCCATCAATCTGGCAAACTAAGTAGTAGCAAGTGGCAAGTGGCAACCCAGGGTCAATCAAGTGGTGTGTGTGACTGAGGTGACTGATGTGTAGACAGAGATTGGACAAAATTGTTTCGCGTATTTGCATTAAACACTTAAATTGAACGTTTTACTTGAAAAATACATGCATTATGATTACTTTACTTCCTTGACCTTAAGTGCTGTTGTTGGATTATATACTTTGCAAGTTATTTTGGTATTCAGTGACATTTGAGTGAAGTGCCTAATTTGAACATGGAGGCTATAGCAAAACACGATTTCACTGCAACTGCTGATGATGAATTGAGTTTTAAGAAAAACCAAGTACTCAAAGTATGTTTTTACTTCTGAAAATTATTCTACAGACGTCTTTCCTAGTCTAATGTCAGATTTCTTATAGAATTCTTGTTGTTGCAGATACTTAATATGGAGGACGATATGAATTGGTACAGGGCTGAATTAGACGGCAAAGAAGGACTTATCCCTAGTAACTATATACAAATGAAAAGTCATAGGTATGTAACAAAGTAAAAATTACAATGTAACCTAATGTTTTATTAGATATCAATGTAGAATCAAATTAAAGCTAACATAGTTTAATTAAAATATATACAATCGCCGGGATTTCATATTAGGTAGTAAAAATAAGTATTGAACTTAACTTATTGCATTTTGTAATAAATCTATAATATTGTTTTTTTTTTATTAACTATATATTAGTTGTTTTAATAACCATAAATTTACTAAAAATTTGATACTAAGTGTGATGTATTTTTCAGTTGGTACTATGGTAGGATCACAAGAGCAGATGCAGAAAAACTCTTAGCAAATAAACCTGAGGGAGGATTTCTTATTAGGATCAGTGAATCAAGCCCTGGTGATTTTTCCTTATCTGTAAAGTAAGTATATACAAATATTTGTGTACAATATATATAAGTTTATATATATATTAAATACTGACAATTTAACACCATGAATAAGTACAAATAGGTACAAATTTTGTTATTTTTTTTAAATAAGTATCAATAAAACTCTTTAACAACTTGAATACACTTTGACTTATTAACAGTTACTTGTCACATACTGTGAGAACAAAACACTGTCCCTATGTAAATGTAACACTGGGTACATTATCTTCTTTTTAAAATTTAAATATAATTAACACTTTCCAATAAGTTAAAAATTCAAATAGTTTAAATTTAAACAAGTTTCCTTAATTCTTTAATTGAGGTAATGACACCTAATTTAACAACTGTTAGAAACTGACAAAGAAGTTAATTAACTTAGTGCTCAAATTGGCTGAAGTGTGACCTGTAACAATTACTCTCTAATTCTACATAGAGTGGGTAGGGCCTTAAGCAATTTACTAAAATTAGAACAATACCTAAGCTTACTGACTGCTTTTGTTACTTCATAAGTAAATATTTATTATTTATTTCAAAAATTAATCACAGTCTACTGTTTTCTTACTCTATATTCTATTTATTATTCAATAGTAAGTTTTTAATATTATAGGCCACCAAATAATACATTACATCCTGGTAATTCTCATTTGAAAAATCTTTTTCATTTGTAAAACCAAACGCATACATAATTGTAATGTAGCCTCCACATTCAAAACAAGACACGATTTCACTGCAACTGCTGATGATGAAGTGAATTTCAATATTGCAACAGTAGTTGGATATTCTTAAATCAAGATTTGTTCTTTAATTTTGAGATTATTTATGATAATGATGTTACTGTGAAAGCTTCTTTTAAGCTTTTTGTCAACTATCAGAATAAACTCTATAAGAATCGAGTTATGAAGACAATTTACTAGGCATCATGTTTTTCCTGTTTGTGGAACAAGGTGGGCTTATTCTATTGTGGCAAACCCTAATATTTGAATATGGCTCATCTCTAACTTTTAATATTTGACTTTTCATTGTGTTTTACATATTTGTTGAAATGGTTCTTTAGAATGACTGATTTGTTTCTTATGTCATGTGTGTTGAAACATTGACCTAACAACAAACTGTTGAATAATAATCAGTAACATTATGTTTAATATATATTTGTATATCAGCTTGCAAAATTTATCTTTTTTGCATTTATTACATTAATTAATAAACACTTATTCATTATAACAAAGAAGAAATATACAAATACAGCGGGGTTAGTAAACTGATCGGTATTATCGTGACAACAATTTCCAATACCGTTACCAAGAATACGGATGACAAATAATTGTTATGCCTGCAATAGTTGATAACAAGCCTTTATCTCATTCACGGCCTCCTTGGCAGCTGTCTAGGGAAGTTTCTGTGACGTGCGAACTTGAATTGAAAATGGGCGAAATCACTTCGACCGTTAACGCCTGTAGTTGGTCGGCCCCTTAGTATTGGCGTCATTCAGTGTTAAATTGGTTGATAAAAAAAGCAAGCCTTTCGTCGCGCGTGACTCACACGTAACCGAGCTGCTCTTATTTGAAGATATTATTAATATTCGTATGTAAGAAACTCTTGACGTCGTGCTGTTTTAGTCATCCTAAATGTCCGTAATACGTAATGGTGATGAGGAATCGATTTTTTTTTTCTTTTCAATTTAGCTGAAATCATTTTCTCGCAACGCTCCCAAACCAGTTCTTTGTCAAACAGCATGAATCAGCCTATGTGGGGAGAAGTAACTGAAACCTGTTTTGATCTATTGCAGACTCGGTATATAATGTTGCGCATATAAGTATTGGTTCGATATCGAGGAGTTGAATGGTCGCGAGTGAAGATTGAAGGAAGAGTTTTGTTTAATTTCCTTAAGAGTTGTCAGGTTTACGTTATATTTGAAATTTATCAAACCGTTTAAAAAATAATTAAAATTACAAATCACTAATTTCTGCTGTCAAAGACCTATTTCTGACTGTTAAAACTAATAAAGAATAACAATAATTTTAATATGCATGACAATGAAAAAAATTAAATGGTATACAGCCTTAACAACTAGATTTAGTTTTACAGATATCAAATATTAGAAAACCAAATGATATCAAAATAAAGTCACCAACATAAATGGCAAAACACATGCCATTAGCATGTTGGTCACGCGACCTTATGAATTTTCCCCATATAAAAATGCTTTAATAGAAAATTATTGCTGTTCCGCGAGATTACACTTATAAGTGATTTCTCATTCAGATTATCAAGTTCCGCATGGCGCTATGGCATTAACAAATTAATATAGGTGCTTAAGTAATAATTATACGGGAGGCTTTTTTAAAGGTGCTTTTTTATTTCAATAAATTTCACAGGAGTCTGAACTTCCTGTGAAATCTATTGAAATAAAAACAAACTTTTTTTTTAAAATTAACATTCTAATCCCCTAAAAAACAGAACTTGTTGAACGCGATAGTTATTCATAAATACCTAAATTTTATTGAACACGCACACAAGCGAACTTGTGTGCGTGTTAGTTATGAATGATCGCGCGTAAAATAAATGAGTTGCGTATAAATCACGCACTTTTTGAGATAAGTTCATATGAATGTAATTAATTACTTACGAGTGATTTAAAATATTTATAATTTTTTATATAACATTGTTTATGTATAGAATTTAATAAAAAAAAATGGATACACTTTGAAAAGCCTCCCTGTATACATGATACATATGATATTATGACCTCTGGGACAGGCCTTATCATAAAGAGACCAAGCTGCACCAGACTTTTGACGTTTCCGTGGCGCAGTTGCCAAGGAATTCCGGCTTCGTCGATCGTGGGTTCGATTCCCACACGAGACAGCTCTTTGTGACCACAGATAATTGCTTCGTATCTGGATGTTTGTCCACGTGAAATTTATGTATGTAAAATATCCTAACAGCACAGTATATGTTATCCTACAATAAGGAGGCATTGTTCTCGAAGGGAAGACTACAATGGATCTTATAGTTTGCCACACAAAATACAAATAGAAACTTCAATAATTACAATATACGCCTATTTAATTATTTTATTGAGCAGCAAAAAGTAACGTATGCATCAAACAATAACGCTTAACATATCCCAGGGGACTAGTATTTATGGTATTCTACTAAAAAATTTTCAGTCGTTATGCTTTTTCTTTCTGACATGAAAATATTGAAAATTTCTTTACAAATACAAGTAAAATACATTTTGGGTTTTTTATTATTGTTGTTCCTCACACATACTGTAACTTTTTATCTTCGAAAAAGATTAATTTCTAATATTTTCAGTAGTTTCAGAAATACTATTGTTATTTAATCAAACGAAGATCTCGTCCGCTAGACAGAACCCACGACATTGCATATTACAATAATTTAATTAACTATGTGTCGGTAGTTATTATTAGTAGAAGTTTTTGTTTAACCAAGTTATCGTGAATATGAATGGTAATAGTGACCAATATTATCTATACGAACATGTATACACAAGGGACATACATTTTATCAAATGAAATTGGTTAGAAGTAATAACAAGATAAGAATTTTTCAAAGAAATTAGGAATAGCGTAGTTAGTGACTCAGTTGCCACTGATCACGTCATGTTTGTAAATATAGTTAATAATGTAAATGTCATCTTTGATGTTTGAGTTAATAAATACAATTTAGTAAATACATTCTCGGTAACTCGCGTCCATTCTTCGGCCACAAATGTCGCTAAAATAAATTAATTAAATTTTGTAACAATGCAGTGTTAATGATTTTCTACTCGTATAGTGCTGCTCTCATCAGATTCGATAGAAACTATTGATGATTCGTAAACATTAACTATTATATATATTTAGTAGTTATAGTTAATACTCATTATTTTATCTCTTAACAACTGCAAAAAATCGGTTCCCTTAAACATACATAAATGTACTCTTTACTGAGATCGCATATTTGTAGTAACACTCATTTTGATTTTGTAGGAAATTGTAAAACGTTGCCAAATTGCGATTTTCCGACTTTTCTCTCATAGAGAATGTGGCAAACGAATCGAAAAGAATCGGTTCATGTTATTATCGACATTCATTGGCACCAATAACTCCCGTGGGAATGTACTTGCGATGGCGACATTTAAGAGAAACGCAGAACACTCTGAGACACTTCCGAATATAGTCTATATGCAGTGCCGGCCTTAGCGATATTGTCTTTCAGGGCCGCTGTATACAGCGTGTCGTTACCATCGCGACAATAAATGAACACACGTCTAACGCTACGAGCCAATAATCATAAAAAAATATTAACGTAAAACAAAATCCATAATTAAAAAAAAAATATTTTTCAAACAAACTAATTAAGTAAAAAAGAAACAAATTTCTAACATCCTATACAACTCGCGCCACAGCGTCGTATTACAAGCCTCTCCTTCTAACAGTATGTTTTTTCCCGTCTCTTTTAAATTCATTCAACCCATTCATATGCTTTGTGACCTTTACAAATGAACTTTACGTTACGCTTTTATAGGTAAGGATGTTCTAAAATTCTTTGTTTTGGAAAATTTTATAACTCTGTAAATATTGATGTTTAAAGAATTTAAATGTTTAATACAACTTTAAAAAGTTTTCCCCTATATGTGTGTTCATTTATTGTCGCGATGGTAACGACACGCTGTATATCCCAATGCTGAGCAAAGGCCTTCCCTTCACATCTACCTCACGATTTCACCGCGGATTGGCAGAATTTCTTTTTTTGTGAGAAAGTGTCAAACGAGCTTGCGGTACACCTGATGTTAAACGATTACCTCTGCCCATGGACATTTGCAACACCCGTAGGGTTGCAGATGCGTTGGCACCTTTAAATAAACTTCGAACTTCTTCGAAATAACTTTATTTATTACTAACTGTCTCGGCAAACGTTGTTTTGCCATATAAATTATTTGTAGGGTAGAAAAAATATTTGGGGTGGGCCACCGTTAACATTTAGGGGGATGAAAAATAGATGTTGTCTGATTCTCCACCCTGGCCGATATGCACACAAAATTTCACGAAAATCGGTCGAGCCGTTTCGGAGGAGTTCAATTATAAACACCGTGACACGAGAATTTTATATATTAGATTATTTCGAAAAGATGCTGGTTTCCTCACGATGCTTTTTTCCGCCGGGTACTTGATAATTGAGCACGTAAAATTTGCAATTGACACTCATTGGTCCCGCGCCGTGGTTTGCAGTCGGGTATTTTGAATTGAAAGCGAGCGGTTGGAGACTGAGCTATCGCAGCTTCCCCGAATTCCCCGGTCCGTTCGATTCAGCACAATCGCTACCCACCAGTGAATCGAATGAAAATAAAACAACTCACGTCACGAGCCACATGCAATGCCACCAGGTGTCCAGACGGCGTCCAACACTTCAAGGTGCTCCGCGACGCGTCCAGCAAGTTCTTCCTATGGGTGGTCAAGTTCAACTCTCTGAACGAGCTGGTGGACTACCATCGCACGGCATCAGTCAGCCGCCTGCAGGATGTCAAACTGCGAGACGTCGTGCCGGAGGAGGTAATTTTAGTCTATATCATTTGGTGACGCAAGTTGCGGGATTTGAGGCCCACTCCGAACTGATATCCATAATTTTTCTTTCTTTTCTTCTTTTTTTTCCAACCATTCATTTATATCTGCGTACGATGAATCACTGACGTAATTGGCTTCACCGTCGGATATCACCTGCTTATATGACTCACAGTTAACTGTGGTAGGGCCATCTTGGTTGCACGAATAGGCAGGTGTCCGGGTAAGTACCATGATCTCACAGAAGACCGGCGTGGAGTGGAAGATATACTTCTACGTTTCGTTTGGTGAGTGAGGTAGTCGAAGCCCACTTTATTAAAAGGTGGCGACGCATCTGCAGTTCTACGGGTGTTGCGTAATATCAGGTGAACTATCAGCCCGCTAGCCACCTTATCACATAAAAAAATTGTTTTCGAGTATTCGTTCCGATGATGGTTGAAATTAGGCAAGTGGTGGAAAGAGATGGCTAGCCTATTCACACTTGCAACCCGAATTATATGTTATGCCGCAGACACTATCTAAGCGGGATGATGATGATTTATAACTGCATACCATCTATAAGTATTTCTTCGATATTTGAATATTGAGAAGGGTCTCTGCAACATATACATGTGTATAAACTGTATGGATCATCTTTGAAATATTTATATTCGCCATTATCTGCTTTTGTTCTAAACAATATTATCGTATCGTATCGTTTTATGGTATCCATCCCTCCGTATTGCTAAAAATATAGGTTTCTATCTTGAGGAAGCAAGTATTATGTACATTTTTTAGCCTTATTTCGAGCTTTTTGCAACACACCTATTGTAGTGTATTGTAAGCTTTTTTTTTCATGAGTATTTTTTTTCTCTTATTTGAAACGTACAATCAAATTTTTTAGTATGATGTGACTGTAATAAGATGTTTTTGTAAAGCTTTTTTACACTACTTTTGGTATTGAGGTTTTGACTAACAATAAAATTATCTGTCCTCTTCCAAACATTAACTCTATATCCCTGGTTATTTTTCGATTTCATCTTAAAGTTAGCTTTCTTATAACCCTAACGGATTATTACTGTAAACATAATCTCCTTTTCTTCTGTACTCCGGTGTATCTTATATCATGTGAAGATTAATTGTATTATTCTTGGTTTGTGTTTGAAAAGCTAGTATTAGTATATATATTTAACACTCTAAAATCCGTAATATTATGGTGTTCCGGGTATATCTTGGTAAATACCAAGATATACCCGGATAGGCTCCAAACTCTAGCCAAATGGCTAGAGTTTGGAGCCATGATAGCTCATTGTCCGGGCGCTCGCTTTCAATTCAATATATTCGAGTAACCTAAGATCGATTCCAGGTGCCAGCAGCAATGAAATTGTTAATTTTAAGTGCTGAATCTATCACGTGCTCAACAGTGAAGGAAAAGATCGTGAGGAAACCTGCATATTTTCGAAATAATAACAAAAAAAATTTCGAAGATATGTGAATTCCGCCAATCCGACGTGGGGCCGCGAGGTAGACTATGCCATGATAGCCTCTGTAAAAGAGGAGACCTTTGCTCAGCAGTGGGATATTATATGTACCTATAGGGTGTTACTTTACTTTTTTTTCCACGACGCCTGTCTGACGTCGAACCCTTTGGAACGAACACCCAACTCAGGAACAGTAATATGTAGGTCACAGAAAGACTTGTCCCGTATGGGAATCGAACTCACGTCCACCGGCGTCGAAAGCAATGGCAAGTGGGCCACTGAGGCATCCACCACGTCCTCATTTGACACCTTCCATAAAATTAAACAAAGGGATTACCTGTATCATCAAAATAAACGAACAATTTGATTTATTTTATTTTAGGTGACGAATGAGCTGTTATCACTTAACATCAGGTGAACCGCTAGTTCACCTGATGTTAAGTGATAACCGCCGCCCATGGACATTTGAAACACCCGTAGGATTGAAGATGCATTACCACATTTCAATAAAATGGGCCCCAGCTACCTCATTCACCAGACGAAACGCAGAAGTGTTGCACTTCCACTTCACGCTGGTATTCCGTGAGGCCGTGGTACTTAACCGGACGGACCTGCCCATTCGTGCAATGGCCGAAGCTGTTGCGTGGCCCTACCGGAACCCTACAAATTTTACAGTCCCCATGTACAACCCGCATTTTGTAGAGATGACGGTTATAAACACTTCGTGGTCGTGACTTACATTGATATGGAATAGTCTCCGTACTCCACTTACTCTGTCTACCGCCTTTAGAGTAGTCGTAAGAATAAATGCTTATATCGCGTCCATTCTTAAATGTAACACGTGATACAAAATCCAGCTCAGCCCAGTCATGCAGCTCACAGTAGAAAGCATAGCATTCGCCTTTAAGCGTACATAATTAATTTCGGCCGTAACGTTAACTGTTTTTTGAACAACGTAAGTGCGGTAACACTCAGAGACGACAATATAATCTTTTCCAGCGACCTAATATCACCATTCGTTAACTGATGGCAGTACTATGCAATAATTTGTATTGAAATTCACATACATGTATGTGTGTACGTGAAATTCAAACTTTGCCAACCAAACTTGAACCACTGTCTCTACTAAACTAAACTTGTATGTTTGCAGTTTTGCATGCTCCTTCAGTTCTGAAAGCAATATATTAAAACGGTAGAGACTGTTTGTTTTTGCGTTCAGGATTGTTTCACACGAAACTTGACGCAGTTGCGAAGCGATAGACCACGGCGTCGATTGCTTTCGACTACCATATAAGACAAGTATTCGAATGACCCACTAGATTAAATTGAGATAACCTTACAAGTTTATCCACAAGTACTTAATAAGGCTCCCATAGACTATAAATTTGTGCGTGAGCTCGTCTTTCAAATAAAAAATAAAATATAAACAAATAATCGTTAAAAAATACATTAATAATAAATTAAAAATTGAATTACTACTACTACTACCATATTATTATATAATTTAAATTAATAATACTTTAATATATGTAGTCATGTATAGTTCTGATACATACATGTTACATATTTCATAAATCTTTATAAATCGGATGCTATATAAGCGCTTCATCGTTGTAACGAGTTTCCGTTGCATTGTGATTGTCCAAAGCATTCAGTTACCTTTTGGTCGAGCCTAATTTAGTTTAAATTCAAAATAAACAAGAGAAGGAAAGAAGAAAATCTCTACAATACAATAAACGTTATCTGTCTAATTGTATGAGTGTGGAATCCTGCCCGGATTTAATGTTAGACTGGGACGCTATAAACTTCGAACCTAATGTTCCGTAATCTAATATATAAAATTCTCGTGTCACGGTGTTTGTAATTGAACTCCCCCGAACCGGCTCTACCGATTTTCGTGAAATTTTGTGTGCATATCTGCCAGGTCGGATAATCGGACCACATCTATTTTTCATTACCCTAAATGTTACGGGTGGTCCACCCAAACATTTTTTTCTACCCTACAAATAAGTTATATGGCAAAACAACGTTTGCTGGGTCAGCTGGTCTAATATATAAAATTCTCGTGTCACGGTGTTTGTAATTGAACTCTTCCGAAACAGCTCGACCGATTTTCGTGAAATCTTGTGTGCATATCGGCCAGGGTGGGGAATCGGACAACATATATTTTTCATCCCCCTAAATGTTAAGGGGGGTCCACCGCAAACATTCTGTATATTTATATAGCTAAACTTTTGCCGGGTCAGCTAGTAGATATATAAAAGAATACACAAGCTAAAGAAACAGTTCTGATATTGCAGTTATTACGCAATGAATTCCCACTGCGCATTATCACTAATGTCAATGGTGTTAAAACTTGTGTATAGCACAAAGTTTTTAAGAGTATTTTTTTTAAATATTCCATTATCAATTGATGACGATGTAGTTTTAAATTCATTTTTCTCAATGTATCAGTCTTTACAATCAACGTCATCAAATTAACAACATTGTCAAATGTCTTTTGTTCCGTGACAAACATAATTATTAGCATGCTATTTATAAATCGTAAATTAACAGACACTAACCGCCACCTTTAAAACAGTCCGCCCCGGCTGTTTTACAGGTGGCGGGGTCTTTTCTGAGGCCGTGGTGCATCCTCGTACGAGCCTAACCATTCGTGCAAAAGCAGAAACACACGCAACAGCTTGTGTCTGTTGCGTGTAGGGATTGCAATCCGGCGTCATTTTCAGTACTAAAATTATAATTACTTAGATGAGATCTCATCACATTACTTTTATTAAAGTGTATTAGCGATATATCGGATGCGGTATATTGGTACTGGATCTGGTAAACGTTTAACGATGCCGGATCCGTTTTTCCGCATTGCAACCCCTAGTTGCGTGATCCCGTAATAATATAAAAGGATATTTAAAAGCAAATGTTTGTGATTGTTGCGAAATTGTGCCCTGATATCATTTAAAACAAATGTGTTATCATCCTTACTTAATCCTTACTAATATTAATATATGCGAAAGTTTGAATGTATTGATGGATGTTTGTTACTCTTTCACGCAAATACTACTGGTTGGATTTTAATGAAACTTTACAATAATATAGCTTATTACAAAAATCAAAATAAGACATAGGATATAATTTGTATACATATTTTATACAGCGTGTCGTTACCATCGCGACAATAAATGAATACACGTCTAACGCTACGAGCCAATAATCATAAAAAAATATTAACGTAAAACAAAATCCATAATTAAAAAAAATACTTTTCAAACAAACTAATTAAGTAAAAAAGAAACAAAATTTCTAACATCCTATACAACTCTCGTTACAGTATCGTATTACAAGCCTCTCCTTCTAACAGTATGTTTTGTCTCTTTTAAATTCATTCAACCCATTCATATGCTTTGTGACCTTTACAAATGAACTTTACGTTACGCTTTTATAGGTAAAGGTGTTCTAAAATTCTTTATTTTGGAAAATTTAATAACTGTAAATATTGATGTTTAAAGAATTTAAACGTTTAATACAACTTTA